CCCCCCCCCCCCCCCCCCCCCCCCCCCGAAAGCTTCAACACATCTCGAAGCCCAAACCTGGGCTCTCCAGAGCTGCGCGACATGCTGCCCCTGAGGCAGCAGCGGCCCTTGCGGCACGGCCATGTGCGCGGGCTCCCGGCGTCGGCCGAGGGCGCCGCCGTGCCTCCTCCTCTCCCTCCTCCAGCGGCGCCAACCTGGTGCTACTGCGCACCAGCATCAGCATATATGCGGGCCCACGGCGGTGCAAGGTCGACGACGCGGTCTCGGGCGAGGTTGAGTTGGGCTGCAGCATCTTGGCGGGATGCGGGTTCGCGACATCATGGCTGAAGGTCCTCATGTACCGCAGCTTGAGGCTGTTTGGAGACAGGTATCAGTGCATCCAGCTGTTCGCCTTCGTCGACGACATCACCATCCTCTGCATCGGGTCACAGCGGTTCCTACTCAAGGTAGCAGCGGACGGCCTGCAGTATCTCATCGAGCTCCTCCGCAAGCTGGGCTTCGAGATCAACGGTTCGAAGTCCACGATCGTGATCTCCACGGCGTACGCGGGCAAGTGGATCGCCGACAAGGTGCACGCGCGCACGGCGCAGCGGCTCCAGGTCAGGCAGCACCACCGCAACCTTGGCGTGGACTCGGTGGTGGGGGCAAGGAGGCGCACCAAGGTCATGGACGCAAGCTTCGACAAGCAGAGGCGCCGCCTCGGCCGAGTCACGTGCCTCAGACGCCAGGGCGCTAAGTCGGGCAAGGTGGGCAGGATGGGCATGCAGCCTGCAATGACGTACGGTGCCAGCGTGCTCGGCAGGAGCGACTCGCAGCTGCGCATGATCAGGGCGGCGGTCGGAGCGGCGATGTTCACCGACACGGCGAGGCGCTCGCTCACGCTGTCTTTCGTGCTGGAGGGGGGCAAGCAGGACCCAGCCTACGCCGTCAACGCGGCGCCGCTGGTCGAATGGGCGAAGGCGGTCTGGACTAAGCGCATCCCCACCCACATACTGCAGGGAGCACTCGACCGAGCAGAGGCGATTCAGCGGAACAAGTTGCACCCATGGGCCGCCGTGGTCGGGCCAGCGGGGGCGATGCTAGCCACGGCAAGGAGGATCGGCTGGCAAGTGCTCTCGGCCAGCAGGTGGACCTCCCACGACGGCGAGGAGCTGGAGTTGGGAGAAGGTGTGGGCCCACGGGCGATCAAAGGTTTGCTGGACAGAGCCACCGAGCGGTGGCAGTACACTCAGATAAGTATACATGAAGGGCTGGAGCACCTCAAGGATGGCATTCACCTGGAGCCAGTGCGCAGGGTCATCCGCAACCTCGAGAAGCACGGCCTGCTGCAGGAGGCGCGCGGCCTGCGCTCCACCGTCATCGGGGCACAGTGGCCCCAGCAGCAGCTGCAGGCCGCGGGCCTTGCTGACTCCCCGCTGTGCCAGCGCTGCGGTGAGGCCCCTGGCACGCTCCCGCACCGCCACGGTGCATGCGTGGCGTGGACGCGGGAGCGCAGGGAGAGCGAGATCGGCCAGGTCCACTTCCCCGAGGGCATGCTCACCGCGATGCAGGAGGCGTTCTGGGGCAGGTGCCTGCTGCCCAACTGGAACGCGGGGCCGAGGCCGTCGAGAGCGTGGCACACGGTATGGAGCGTGGGGGCCCCAGGAGGTTTCTTCATGGACGACGGCTTCGTGGACGGATCAGGGCGTAGCCTCGCAGGCCCTGACGGCATGCGGGTGGGCTTCGGCTGCGCATCGGTGGACCACCTCGGGCGAGTCACGGGGGCCTGCCACGGGCCATCTCCTGGCTGGCTACAGGAAGCGGGAGAGGGCGAGCTCTTCGCAGTGGAGGTCATGCTGCAGCACGCCGTCCCCCCGTTCACCATCTACAGCGACTACCAGCACCTGCTCGACGGCATCGCCGCGGGGCCTGCCATATGCTGCGCGCCTGGCAAGGCTTACGCTGAGCAGTGGAGGAGGATCTGGCGTCTGATCATGGACATCGGGCAGGACCAGCTCCAGTTCCGCAAGGTCAAGGCCCACCAGGTCATCACCCAGCTCGCGTACGGCTCGGTGGAGCGGCGGCTCGCCCTTGGCAATCACGCCGCCGACGCCGAGGCCAAGCTGGGAGCGGCCTGCCACCCCTGCAGCTCGCAGGCCGAGGAGGAGCGCTTCGCCTCCCAGCAAGGGGCGGTGGGCCGCATGGCTGGCTGGGTGGCCCAGGTGTGCGTGCTTGCCAACGGGAGCCAGAGGGACACCACGGGCAAGCAGGTGCTGACGAGGGCCCCGAGGCACGAGGAGCAGCACGGCATGGTGCGCGCCGCCAAACGCCGCCGCACCCAGCCGCGCGGGCAGCCAGTGCCAGCGCCCGTCAGGAGAGTCGACACGAGCCTGAGCATGGAGCACGACGACCAGGACGGCGACAGCAGCGGAGGCGAGCCGCCTCCGCGCGGGGCCACGGTGCTGTCGGCGGCGGCGCTCGCGGCGGCAGCTGGGAGCGCAGGCCTGGCGGGGGGCTCCGACGGCGTGACCGACGGCAAGGACCTGGCCCAGCGTGACAGCGCTGGCAGCAGGGGCGAGGCCGAGCCCGCCGCGCCCCGCGGGTCCCAGCAGGGGACGGCGAGCCAGGCCAGCGGCGGTGGCCCCGACGGCCTGGCGGGCGGCTGGGCAGCGCGGGTCACCCCGCGGAGCGGCCAGGGCTGCAGCAGCCAGGCCTGCCACGGCGACGAGGACAG